CGATGCTCAGCTGAAGATCCTGGGTCCAGTGACCCACTTTTTACCAGAAGTTGAAACATCCGATGTGTCTTTGTTGACACCGGTGACGACCCTGACAGTATGATTTTATCCTTATTATACATTTCCAGGGTTGAGCAGTATTTAAATACTTGTATTTGAAATACTGTATTTTTGCGTTTTTTGGAAATGTATTTTAGAGATCCATTTAAATATATAAAATAGGCGTATTTAAAAAAGAAATAATTTAAATACAGATGAATAAACGACGACACTAGTAGTTTCTTTTTGAGTTTGCTAAGGCATGAACTTCATTGACAATAAACATAAAAGCCTTTTTCAGCTGTTCAATGTGAATTCTGTAATTTTTAAATGATAAATATAAATTTGCTGATAGTAAAAAAAAAGCGTTTATTCCTTATGGCGCTAGTTTATGCTCATTTTCTTCAGTTGAACCAGTTTTCCTTGCGGGATTTACACATTCGCCAACTAGGGGTTTATTGTTTCAAAAGGAATTTCTGTTTATTTGAGTGCGACAATTGTAATATATTGTTGCAACAAAAAAGTTATAATACAAAATTATTGTATTTACTCTATTTTGAGTGTTTGAAATATTTTAAATACGTTGATTATAATAAATTCAAAATCTAATATATTTGGTAAATGTATTTAAATATTTATTTACGAAGTATTTTGACGAAATATTTAAATGCAAAATTTACGTATTTTGCACTACCCTCGTCATTGCATACAGAATGATTGCCTTTTACGCTCTCTTCTTACTATGTACTTGTGATCTTTCGAAAGAAAAACCCGCGTTTCAGTACCCACGTTTTGGGTGTCCTTGGTACCGAAAAACTGATTGACGGCAAAATATCTGTCTACATCTATGTGCGTCGAAAAAAAGTAATGGACGCTTTAAAAACGGAGGAGATCTCATTTTCGTTGCACTTTCTGAATTTTCGAAAGTTGCATACGTTTTAAACTTTTCGACATCTTCCTACAACTACAATTTTGAAGTTATAGATTTTACCTTAAAGAAATCTGTTCTTCAAAGACAGGCTCTTAACTTTTAACTTGGCAACGAAGTACCTCGTACGATACACAGTTTTTTGTGACCGAACATCTACCATGATAATAAGGAAATATTTTTTATTGTCGATTAGTGACTTACAGAATATGTCTCTGATGGATGAAAAAAGTCAGAACTCATAACTTTGTTGACTATTGTTAAAGCAAGACAAATAACGAAATCCACTGTAATGTGACATGGCCGACAGAACTCTTAACTTTTCGAAAACTAAATATAATAATTCATGCGGTAGTTATAAGAAGACCCTATACTCCAAAATTGTTTTGAGAAGAACCCATAGCAAGTTTTCGATTATAGCTTTCTACACAATGGTCTATTTAATTGAAAATTACATATTATTTTTAACTTAGTTTTATTTAGAACGTAATTAAATTCTCCTTAATTTCAAACATGTGGCGTAAAGAAAACTGTGTATAGGCCCTTCTTCTGGAGAACACTATATTTAGTATTGAAATAGTGTAAATTATAAATATTATTAATTTTTAATTTGCATTTATTATAAACTGATAATACAAATCATTATGTGGTTTGTTACTAATTATTTTTTCCTCACAATTCATCTTGCGAGCTATATATAAATTCCGAGTATCAGTAACTCTTGCCGAATTAAGTGGAACTCGATGGACAGGTTAAAGTGCAATATTCTGGGTATCTCTCCATGTAACGGAATATTGCACTTCCAACTTAACGAATAGATATAGGTGTTGTGGTAGGATATCTTTGGCATTTTTAAAATAATTAAAGATGTTGTCAATGCCAACAATGTTTTTTAATTCAAAAGCAGCTTTCGATGGCTCAGCCATCATCATGTGTCAACTGATGATGATGGCTAAGCCATCGAAAGCTGCTTTTGAATTAAAAAACATTGTTGGCAATGACAACATCTTTAATTATTTTAACGAATAGAGATAAAATCATGAAAATTTGCTTGGATACAGGATATAGTACGCACAACTCATTTCTGCATTTTCCAGAAGAAGGGCTCATAGTCCTATGGGGCTCATAGTCCTATGGGGCTCATAGTCCTATGGGGCTCATAGTCCTATGGGGCACATAGTCCTATGTACCCCTCTTCTCGCTACCACCTCAATTATCTTCGCATGATGGTTTTGTTTTTTTTGTTCATTGTTATGAAATTGTTTGCTTATACGTTACTTGAGTATTATGCACTTAGAATGTATTTGAGGAAAACAACTATATTAATTCTAAACTGAAAAAAAGTATCTCAGGAGATACTATGCTTCTTATGCAACAAAGTGGCGCAACACAATATTGACGATTATATTACAGCACAAAAAATCGTGAAAAGTATAGTGTCCAGTGATTAGCATAGTATCTCTCACGTCAAATACTCATTGTTAGGGGAACTTCGCGACGTATCTTATGAGATACATACAAATTATGGAACTTAAGATTGCAAAAGAAAAAAATTGTTTTCCTTCCTACAGACCACAATAGTAAATCATTTATCACTAAATGATTCGTCCTTGCGTTAATCTGCTTGCCAAGTTAAGGATAAATTAGGTCATGCACAATTTTTCATTTCTCGCCTTTGTGAAGGTATTTTCGTAAGAAGAGAAAGTTATGTAATCATGCACCGGAAAATGGTGCATTTTCTGCAGAAAAATCTTTTTTCTGTGCCCTTCTAACGAAAAAGTCGATAAATACACTTATTAACCATAGAAAAAATCCCACACGCGGTCAAGAAACCATGTTTTGTGGGTTCTTGGTACTAGAAAATTGATGACGGCTAAAGTCTGTCTGTGTGCCCGTCTGTGGTCAACGCTAGCTTTAAACCGTTCAGCCAATTTTCTCCAAAATTAAATTTCCCCGATTGATCTGAAGGAACTGGAGGCTTTGGGAGCTTCAAACGGATGTTTTGTTTTTTGAAGGTACTTTACACGAAAACATTTGCCTAAAAAACACTTTCAAAATTTTCTCAAAAATGGCTCCAAATTTTTAATTCAACATTTCCTCGAATAGCCTATACGAATGGTCCAGGTCTCATCTTCGTTGCAATCACAGATTTTTTTGAAAATTGCAAACGTGCAACTTTTTTTTTCTCAAAAATCACACCGAATTTTTTGTTTAAATGTTCTCATTTGTAATAAGAGACGGTACAAATATGGGTACAGTCCTAACTCTTCATTTTTTCGAAAATTGCCAAACGTTCACACTTCAAAAGTATAAAGTTTACAGTTGAAGATTAACATTTTGGCCTCAGATAAAATCAGTTGAAAAACAAAATAATCACTTTAAAAAAAGGTCATGTACAACTTTTTGAAAAAGAGAGTTTTTATGTAATTTGCGATTGAAATTTTAAAATTGCTAGCTCGAAAACCACTCCTAATTTTTTCTTAACATTTTTTCCACATATAGATTAAGGATCGCTTAAAAGAATGTTGTGGCGTTGTGAATTTCGTAGACCTCTCTGGATTTTTGAAAATAGAAAATATAGAAACAACGCGAGAACGTATATGCTTTTGTAGTAGTGGTTTGAAAATGGAGTAGTTTTTGAGTAAATTTTGCGAGAAATAAAAGTATTATTGGACAAAGGAAGCTAAAAAATGGGCGGAGTTTTTATTTTCGTTGAACTCTGAATTTTCAAAAATTGCAAAAGTTAAAAATGTGAGAAAGTATGCTGATGTAGCACACCCTTCAGCCAGGGGGATTTCCTGTCACTCCTTTAATTCGAGTCATGAGCACGCGTAGGTCATTTCTTCCACCACTCCTCTGGATGTTAGGCCAGATAGTTAGCTGACACCAACCGGCCGAAACGACTATTTTTAAATAAACCCACAGTAGCCTTTAAGGCCCCCATTTCTAATCTGTTTATTGAGATATTCGGAATGGAATGGACTGTTACCGCATTGGAATGATTCTCATTTTAACGGGGCTCCCCGCGCAAAAGGAGCGAGTGGAATTGGCAGGTCGTGCGATTACCCTTGAAGTATGTGTCTTGATGCTCATCACCTCACTTACACCTCTGTTAATATCTGTTTACGACAATCATTTCCATGAGGAACATTAATTCAATGTGTATAGTATAATGGAGCCTATGATCCGCTCCTTCTCGCTCTCCATACCTGGCTGCAAATCCCGTCACGTTCCGGACTCCCTGCCACGCCTTCGTGTTGGAACTAACTTTCAATTAACCTACTTAGGCGCATTCCCTCACAACTTTGGTGGATTCCCTCACCGACATTCGCGAACATCAGAGGGAGCAAGCACTTAATTTCTGCTTTGCGGGATGACAAAAGGTAATGAAAGATTTTATGAACGGTCATGTAGTCAGTTACGTCTTTCGTGTTTTAAAAGTCAAGTGTATAAACTCTCATTACGATGGGAAAAATACTATTTTTGAACCATATTTAAAACTCTTGTATTGAAATAGCTTAAAATAATAATCCTTAGTTAAACATTTGAAATTATAAAAACAAAAACAAATTAATGGGTTTTATGTCACCGCCGCAAGTGCCGCACCTATGTATATCTATACCTATATCTATATCTATATAATATGATCATAAAATGACAGCTACGTGAAATTGCAAACATCTTGAATTTTGTTAAAACTTTTTGTCATTATTTTATTGAATTATGTATTAATTATTCTATTATTATTATTATTTATTTTAATTATATTTTATTATTATTACCTCGTCAAGAAATGTGGAGCACATAAAGCTAATCTAAAAAAACGGCTGCAGTCCATCTTAATTGCTAGGGCCTCAGATTCCTCGTCTGACATACATGCAATATGCCCCCTCTCTCTTCTCTTTTTGACGGGCGTCATGAACCAGCCCACCATCCCGCCATTATATCACAAAAGACAAGATACCAGAGAATTCGCGAGGTCAGTTTGGGTCAGCCTGATCGCCACTCAGATGCTTTAGATAATTTGCGCGGGCGCGGCGGGCGGCAGACGGCGCGGCGGGGGGCCGCGGGCGCACGCGGGTGCGGCACTGCGGCGGCGGCATTGCACTGAGGGCGGGGTGGCGCCCGCGCGCGGAGTCGAACGGAGTCGACGTTGGGGCGTTGCAGTGCGGCGCGCGCGGCCATGGCGCAGCAGCTGACGACGGCGGCCGGGCCGCGCCTGGTGGCCCTGGCCGAGGTGCAGCGCTTCGTGCGCGAGTGCGTGGCCAAGGCCGGCGCGCCCGATGCCCACGCCCGCGCCATGGCCTCCGTGTTGGCCGAGGCCGACCGCCGCGGACACTTCAGCCACGGCCTCAACCGACTCGGTGAGACAGATGTGCTTTTCGCGCCGCACCGGGTTGGCGATTGTCACTTCATTGCGAGACGCTGGAGAGGGGGGGGCATAGGGATAGAAGGTGGTATGTTAGTGTTACGTAACGCCGATATTTATTTGTTTAATTTTCATCATTTGCTGCACTAATGATTTTTATTCAGTCTGATTCTAAACATTAAAATATTAAATAAATTAAATTTAAAATTCAAATAAATTAAAATGTTATGATCTGAAAGTTGTTACAATAAATGGAAATATTTTTTCATCAATGGTATATTGATTCTATCTGTATTTAAAACGGACCTACAGTATACACAAGAATTCAATTAAATTGTCGCAGTAGACTTGCCTGTGCGTTATACACGACGACGTGAGCACAGCTTGTCAGACATTTTTTCATCCTAGTGTCCTTTCTTAACTCAAAAATATGCCCCACTCCCATGCTGCATTTAAGTGCTGTCAGCGTCGCTAAATAATTCTAGCTTTATTATAAATTTTAATATATGACACAAATAAAAGTAATACAAATTGTTTTACAGTTATAAAACTTATTTTTACTAATTATAAATGGGGGAAGGGTCGTCACAAGGGTTATGTAATTATTTAGGACTTTCAAGCGGTCGTTACCGGGGAATCGGGGGTATAAAAAATACTCCAAATTTGCATTACGGAATTTATGGACGACCCCTCACTTGAAAGAAAGTTTAGTGTGGTGTTGATGAATGCAAAGATGTTGCCCGGCCGCGCAAACACGACGCGCGAATCTGCTTTGCTCCAAAGCGCGTCATTCCAAGGAGTGACCGTTTGTCGCCGTGCTCGATGAGCGTGAAGAAAGATGTTTTCTCGCGCACGAGTGCAACGCCACGCGACGCGATGTGACACGAGACGCATGCAAATCCCCCGCGAATTTCTCTCTCCAAAGTAGATAAGTCGAAGAAAATTTCCATCGAGGGAACAGAGTACATTGCAGCGATATATTGTGGAAATTCGTATTTTTAAATAATTAAAAATGAATAAATATCCATACACAAATTCAATTTAATTTTAAAATTTGCAATTATTAAATGTGTTAAAAGAATAATTTCCATTCAATCATAGAGGTAGGTTTCTCGAAGGAGTGTTTGTCATTTAAATTTTGAACTAACTTGTAACCATAGAGCGATTTCGCATGCCGACAGTTTTGGTATTGTTTTATAAACATCAGATAAGCGTTGAAAGCCGAAACTATTACCAAGGGTTCAGACAAGTTCTAATAATAAAAGTCCTAAAATCTGAAACAAGATTTTTAAAATATTACTTGTTTATCTTCTAAAGAAAGATAAGAGGAAAACAACCACGGTGGAATCCATCGTGTTCCTCACATTGGCTGTGACTTAAGTATGAAATGTGTTCAGAAGTAGTCAATTTTTACTAATAAAAGTTTCAGAAAGATAATGGTACGAAGAATAAAACACTTCGTCTTTAAATGGATCTACTCGGGTTATCACAGTTCTCCTCCTAATGTTAATTATTGAGATGTCATTTTTCTTGTCCGTCAAGGACATTATGCACTTTCAATTTACGGGTGATCAAGCAAACAGTGATAATTTATGTCAGGTAGTCAAACATGTAATAAGCAACCAAAAGTCTAAACAAATTTAAAGATATTACTAAACTTATCTGAAACTGAATTTAGCGTTAATCCCTTTGAATGCGTTGGTGCATCACGAATTCCAGCGCCTACAGAGTTGAATGATTTTTTTCTTCTTTATTTTCGTTACGTTACTTGAAAATCAATAACTGTTTTCTTCTAGGATAAAAGTAAAATACTGAGTTTATGTTGATAAGCTAATGCTTATTAATTACTTAGATACAAAACATTCATTGCAATTTATATTTTTGAAATATTTTTATATGGGAAGGTGTGTGTATTTCATGTTTTCCCGGAATTCATGATTAAGTATACATCATATCCGTATTTTTATTACCATAAACTGACAAATTAAAATAAAAAAATGTACATAATAATATCTTAGTATAAAGAAAATATTTATATTTGATCAAGAATATTCCAATACAAAATAGAGCCATTACAATCAAATCCTCAAAAACTTCAGCAACTTCAATCCATAGGAGGTCACTTCTGACCCAACCGGTTTTTAATCTGGAAACTTTGGAGAGTGACAACTCCAGGAAATTATTCTTCCCGTATTGAAGGGTGCCCTGCAATCGGGGAAGGACTGCCTAGATCCCAGAAGGTTTTGCTGGAGCGACACAAAATGAATGCTGAATCCCTTGCGTGCTGCAAATGCCGGAAATGTACCTCACATATTCTCAAAACTCATAATAGGTACCAAGTAACTATTTTAAAGTGGCGTCGCCGACGCTGTATGCTGTTTTAAAAGTATTTTTCGCATCCTCAAGTCAAAACCCGTATTTGGCAGAGCATTTGTACGCCACAAAGGTGAGCTTTGGCGGCCTAGGCCAAGAACGAATTTTAGAGGTCGATTACCATGGCAACGATAAGTAAACAAGACAATATATAAACGACTATTGACACATTCGCAAAGTAGATTTATCATTTTTCGAGTTCAGAATGTTTTTAATTTATTTATTGTTAACATTTATATTAAGAACACAATTTGATGTATTCCGAAATATTAACCCTGGATCAGATACGTCCTCCGTGCATTAAGCACTCGTGCTATGAGTCATCAGAAATTGAAGTAATACCTTTTCATAAAGGCATGCCAGCAGTTATATCATTTACCAGTGTTACATGATTCTCTCTTTTCCATTTCATAAAAGAGGTCATATTCTCTTTCGTATGAATCCTTTGATTTTTGAGGAAGTAATCTCCCTGTTGAAGCTTCAACTTCCCTAATTATAATCCCTGAACTGTCGCACTCCTTGCTTACGAAACAAATCACCAAAACCAGCCGCAAATTCTACTCGCTTTAACAATTGTTACACTACTCACAACTTCAGAGGTGATAATGTAGAAGAAAATCTGCATCTATACGACGAAACCGCATGGTATAATAAAAGAGATCTCTCAAAAATTAAAAAAAAAAAATTGGGAAGCGACTATACGAAAAATAGGTGTATGAAACTTGACCGAAATTGAATGATTTTGGATTCAGTTAGTTTACCTAACTCAACTCCGCTCCGCCTTGGTTGGTAAGCACCTCATCCAAAATCATTTTTCGACTTTGATACATAAATAACTATTTCATTTGTTGAAAATTTCTAAACGTCATGCATAGCTTTGTTCAAATAAGTTCTTATAGTCTCTGGAATTGGACATACCAATGAATCGTAGAAGTTGATAATGTTAGACTTCCGTTAAAAAGTGCCCAACACCCTATGACCTTGTATGTTACCTCCATACGGGATGTGCCCTGGCAATATTGTAATCGAGAGTGTTTGTGGAACAGGAGATAAAAACGATTGTGTTCCGTGTTTGGAATATTTTACGTTATATTCTCCCCCCCCCCCGCCCCCAAATAACGAATTATCTTTGGACCGACTGCAGGTCATGGTAGCAAAGATTTGATTTTGTAATTCAGAAGTATTCACAAACAAAATTTAATCTATCTTGATAATGCAGATATATTTTTAATCTTTGTACATCTGTCTCACTTCATTTACTTTTATCAATTGGCGTCAAATTGTATCCTAATCATCCAGATGAACTTTAGTGATAAGGGATATTTAATGCGTAAATTTCATTTTAAACAATACTTATCGTAAGGGTATTTAATTAACGTATGCTGCTCTAGATGAAACAATCTATTACAGTGATATTCACGAAGGAAAAATTAAGCTTCTCGGAATATTAAATTATTATTAATATTTAAGTTAATTTCAATCGTCTTGTTCTAAAAGAACGAATTCATCAGAAAGAAATAGCTGCTGTTATTGAAGCAAGCGACTGGAGTTAAATCTTACTTCTATTTTGCTACTACCTAGCTTAACGCACTCAAAATTGTTTGCAAAACTATAATTATTTTTCAATTTTTTTAGGTATGAAATGGAACTGACAAATAGTAGATGATGTAAGTGAATTTTGGAATTTTAGAAAACTCGAAGCTCATTCGAAAACTCTTAACGAACTGATTTATTCTTCCTTGAACGTGGCTGGAAAGGCTCTCTTTAACCGTAGAAGGAAGCAGTGAAACATTTGAATAGGGACACTATTCATTTTTATTCATGCGTATGACTGAAAATTTAGGAGTCAAATAACTTTTACGACACAAGATGCATATTTTTTCTCCGTTCATGCATGGCAATAGTGGCAAAATAGAAGGAATGGACGCAGTCAACAACAAAATTGAAGGGCGCTGTGGGGTCCCGAAAAACGTCGAGGCACTCTAATTCAGCGATAGGTCTAGAAGAATGTCGTCTTCAATTGAGTAACAAAAAAATTATGTACGGACGAATTTGTGTCTATATTATATCTTCTTCTACTATCTTCAAACGGTCAGCGTTCGTCCGGGCGAGTAGGTACCCTCAATCAACACATGGTTAATAAGGGGTTAATAAATGAGGAAAATAACTAGTCGACAAGCTACCTGCAAATTTGTTTGGCTATCAAATATGAAAAAACCTACGGGCGTGGTCGAGATACAAACATTTAATAACTGCATTGAGGTCTCGCAGTTATCGAATTTTGTACATACCCAAGCGACGTTGGGAAATCCAGGTCGTCAGACCCGTGCTCTGAAGGTCGTACTGACTGGGCCATATTTTGACCTTCTCACTGTCTTGTGACGGGAAGTCGGACTCATTGTTACAGGGTTCGTTGCACTGATGGCGGATTCTTCTCCGAAAATTACAGGCTTCTCATTCGTCAGCCAGGGACCTCTAACGTATGTTCAGCACCAGTCTTGTTTCGGCACCAACTTCCTTCTTAGTATTGTCACATGTACTCTATAAAACTATAATAATAATAATAATAAAACAACTAAAATATTTAACGCGCTAGGCGAATTCGGATTGCTGTTAATTTTT